GTTTGAGGAAAACTATTGGTTCGGGCATGAATACAAGAGTGTGGAGCGAACCGTGGATTCCAGATCTTAGAGCCCGACCTCCAAGAGCAGCCCAACAGATTGGATTTCTAGACCCCCGAATATTGGTGTACTCATTCATCCGACAAGATACGAAGCTTTGGGATGTTCCTCTTCTCAGAGAATTTTTCCAATCCGAGGATGTTTCTCTTATCCTTGGGTTGAGACCTAGCCGAACTCGCACATTGGATGGTTACCCATGGAATCATTCCAAATCGGGATTGTATTCGGTTAAATCGGGTTATGATCTTATTAGGAGGACAAAGCTTCTTCAGGAAGCTGGTGCGATGAGGGAACCAAGCATTACGGCTCTTCAACGGCAAGTCTGGAGAATCCGTGCACCCGGAAAAATGAAACACTTTATGTGGCAATCTCTTTCCGGGTGCGTCGCAACATGCCAAAACCTTACTACCGACATATGAGCTCAGATAAACGTTGTCCCCGATGTGGGGATCCCGAGGAGACTATAAACCATCTTCTGTTCTTGTGTCCTCCGGCGTTACAAGTCTGGGCGTTATCGGACTTTCCTTCCCTTCCGGGTCTCTTCCCGAGTACTTCTATTATCAAAATATGAGCTTCCTCTTTTGGAAAACAAAAGAGATAGGCATGACGGATCCTTTAAAGGATATTTATCCTTGGATCCTATGGTTTATTTGGAAAGCAAGGAACGAGAAGATCTTCAAAGGGAAAGAAATTTCCCCGGAAGATACTTGGATTCATGCTAAAGTGGAAGCAGAAAGTTGGAGGGTTGCGAACCAGCCTGAGGACAGCGATGACGTTCAAGTTGAGGAAGTAGCCCTTCCTCCGGACATGACTGCGATACCCGAGGTACCGCAAATCCCACTATGCCGGATTGACGCCTCTTGAATCAATCACGGACAGGTGAGCGGCCTCGGATGGAGCTTTGTGGATGGCGGAGGAATTGAACTTTTTGGTCTACAGGGATGCCGTAGAAGCCTATCGGCCATTCACGCTGAGATGGATTGCCTCCTCTGGGCTATGTCCTGCTTGAGAGAGAGACGGATACTTTCGGTTCACTTTCAGACCGACTGTTCGGATCTGGTGCGTATGACTGAGTTTCCAGTTGATTGGCCGTCCTTCAATGCAGAGCTAGACACCTTCCGACTCCTACAAGAGAGCTTCTCAGAGTGCATTTTATCTTATATTCCGAGGGATCTAAATGTCCGAGCGGATAGTCTTGCAAAAGGAGCTCGAGCAAGAGGAGTTATCTTTTCCCAAATCGATCATAACGAGCTAATCGATGGTGGTCCACGGATCACTAACACGACGGGCCAAATGTGATTGTAATAGATGGGTAGTGGAAAAAAATAATAATAATAATTTTTTTCATCAATTGCATCCTTGTTATATATGCTTTTTATGAAAAAAATAATAAAGTTAAAAATTATTCTCTTTCCTTAAGCTAGTTTAGTCGATATAAATTTTTGATTTATTCTAAATTAAAAACAAACTAATAAACATAACTTTTGTTTTTATATATTTTAAACTATTACAGTAAATAAATATAAAATAAAATCTATATACATATTTGTGTAGTGATTTGCTGATGTGTCATGCTCACAGCGAGTTTTACAGTATTTCGTTTACGTGTCATCGCCAGAATGAGTTTCGGCTGCAAAAACACATTTTAACCCTATTTAGATAAAATTATATGTAATTTTTTATTGGTTCGTATGTGATAATGTGTTAAAAATAACTTAAAACAAAACGCTCTAAATTATTATGGTTTAATGCTTAATTTCTCTGTCAAATCAAACCGTTTTTCTAAAATTTAATAAAACCGAAATTTTTTTAAAAAAAATCTAACAAAAAAAATTAAAAAAAAAATCTATATATCTAAATAATGGAATATCGATAAAAAACGGAAATCATCTCTAACTAATGGAATGTCGCTAATTATAATATATATGTTAGTGTTTACGATTTTTTATGTTCATATGGTTTTTGATTTCTTATGATTTAGTATAAATATCAACCATTTTTCTCTAATAAAACCGATATTTAGTCAAATCTAACAAAAAGGTAAAAATCAATAAATGTAATGTCTAATGGGATGACGGTATTTGTGATGTCTAGATTAGAATTTTTGACATTAAATATTTTAGTATAAATATGTACGACTTATCTCTAATTCTGTCGCACCTTTCTAAATTGTTTAACTAACTCCTTCTTCTTCGAATAAGTTCGTACGATACTTCAAAAAACTACGTCTAAAATACATATATATAACAATGATTAAAAGATCTTAAATTATTTAAACTAAATTATTCAAATATTAATATGTTTTTATCTACCTTTTTTTACACTGTTTTTACGGTCATGTCTTCAAACATTCAAATGTAAAGAAATCTAAAAAACAAATATACTCAATAATAGAGAATAAAAAACAAATAAATCCAAACTATTACTAAATTTTCAAACAACCAAATAAAAAAATTATGCCAGCCTACGCAAGGCGTGGACAAAGTCACTAGTTTGAAATTAATTTCAAATCACAAAGTCGATGAATTCAATATAAATTTTTGTCAAATTTATCTTAGATTGGTATATACCAAGCTTTTGTTGAGTAATATAATGTCTGTAATAACTTGTAAATGATTTTTATTGACAAAAAAAAACAAAATAATTCTCCTTATTTTACTGTTTTAATAAGTACAAATTATACTTGATAGCTTTTAACTACCTCTTAATAAACTATTAAATTAATTTTTTGGTATATACTAAAATATATTTCAAAATTTATTATCACCTTTAAATTATGTTTAACCACCAGTTTTTTTTAACCACCAAGTATATCCACATATTAATATATGTGTTGTTTTTTTATGTTATAATAAATATTATTTTAATTTGTTTTATAATTTCAACTCGTATAAATATTTTTAAATTCTTCTAATGCTTTTAAGTTAGTATAAAGATAACTAAACTAGTACAAAATAATAAGTTACTATTTAATAAAAATAGTATTGACACAAAAAATTAGTACAATAGAAACTCTACAAATTAATATTCGATAAATTAATAAACACGATAAATTAATAATTTTTCATGGTCCTGAATTGAGCCAGTTCAAAATACGATACAATTCAATAAGATAATAAGATAATAATTTTAACAAAACTCCTATGTAACTATTTGGTACCATTAATATTATAAATTAATAATTATCATAAACAAAATCTGATGGTTTTAATTTTGTTAAATGAAAATATTTTTAGAACTAATTTTTAACTTTAAAAAGGTTGTTTTAAAAATTTAATTTTTTTAAAAGATCTCTTTTAAAATTAATATAAAATAAATTAATAACTCTATAAATTAATATTTTATATTTAAAAACTATAAACTAATAACTCTATAAATCAATAAATATCAAAGTTTCAACATTATTAATTTATAGAGTTTTTACTCTAGTGAAAGAAAATAAGATTTTTTTTTTCAAAGAATGTTATTTTTTTCAAAGAATGAAAGAAAACAAGATTTATAGAGCCCCAACATTATCATCTTCAATTTTATATTTTTATATAAGTTTTATAAGAAAACCCAAAAACAATGTTAAAATTTACTTTCTTTCCTTAATTGATTGCATATTATTTTATATCTAAGTAAATTGATATTTTGTTTAAGAAATGTTTTTGATTTAATATTATTTTAGTTTTTTGTTGTTAATGGAAATTTTATACATAATTTTCTTATTCTTTTATATATATTTTAATAATATTGATTTTTGGAATTTTTTTTAATTTTGAACGTTGATGTTGACCAATATAATTGCCCGTTTTTAATCATATGTGGACATCTTTAGAGACATTTAGCTTTAATTTTTATTATTAATATGATAGGATACACAAAATGGCAGAATTATGTTTTAAACGATTCTGAAATTTTTTACCATTCAACATAAATCTGCAAAGTACTCGCCTTTATCAAATTCCCTTAGCTTAAGTCATTGCCAGTTTTTGCCTTTGATCTTATCAAATAATTTCTTGCTTTAACAGGATTTAATGGAAAAAAATCTATCATTTTTATTTTTTTTTTCAAAAATAATCATCAGCTTTAGGAAATGCAAGTCAATCCTCTCACCTCTCAAGTCACCTGCAAAACAGTCCAAGCCTATATCTATAACGTGACAATTGTGAAAAACACAAACAGAAATTAAAATACAATAATTTGTTGGGGTAAAACGAGTTGATGTTTTAATCTGTATTGTTATTTTTTAACTAACAAAATAGCCTAATGTCAATGTGTTTGCAGAAAATTCATGTAATATACCTCACTAAAAAGATTGACTTACATTTTTTAAAAGTTGATGGATATTCGTGAAAAAAAAAGTGATAGATTTTTTATATTAAAGTCTAATATCATACTTAGTATTGGACATGTATCATATTAAATATTAGTATTGGACATAGGGGCGGACGCAAGTGTAGTGTTACAGGTCATGTGCTCTCTATTCTTTTTTGTTTTTTTTATTGAATATATCTTAAAAAATGTGATTTTATATGTTATTTCAATGGATTTATAGGAAAAAAAATGTCTCTATCATAAAAAATATGTTTTCCATTAAAAGTTGGGAAAAAAAAATTGGAGAAAAAATTGGGCATGTATCCTAACATCTACTGTTGTGGATCTGCCTCGACTGACTAACATATTTTCGTAATGTTTTGCAAAACCTACAATCATCTACACATTTTTTGATGTAATAAACTAATAAGTAATAACTAGTAACTAAAAATATTTAGGGGAAATGAATTGATGATTAGCCCCGTTGACAAGATCGAACAAAAAAAAATAAAAAAATAAATAAAGAGAAAATTATTTTGAAGAAAAAAAAAAGAAAAAGAAAATTAATACGAATTGTCTAACGGCGCCGTTTGGAAAGGACCCAAACTTAATAATAAAAACATAGGCCAATGAAGTTCATTAAAGTGGCCCAGGTTAGCAACAAATCTGTAAAATTGTTTTCAAGGTTCGTAAAACCCTAGTATATAAATTCGCTATTCAATTTTTGCTACCTTTCAACTCTTCGTTGTAGCCTCTCTTCCTCTAAGGTTAGCTTCTCACTTTTCTGCACAGTTCCGAAACCTTATACTCGACAATCGCTCTTTCACAGCTCCAAGGAGATCTGATCAAAAATCTATAAAGGTGTGTATCTCTCAACGCGCCAAGTCAGTCTCTCTCCATTTCGTGTTTCGTATGCTAATTTTAAACGAATTATAATGGATTTGCGTCTGTTCCTTTGTTTCGATGTGTCCTGGGTTTTGTTTTGCTTGTTTGTCGATTTTGGGTCTAGTTTTTTTTTCCGATTTAGTTTAGTATTCTTTACTTACATCTGCTTAATCTCGAGTGTGGTTTCAATGTATGTGCTTTGAAATAAGTGTTTTGCAGCTGTAGTATTGATTAGCCAAAGACGTATGTAATCTGTAGTTTTAAAAATCGTTGGCTTTTGATTCAAAATCAAGTAATTGAGATTATCTACAGCTTAATGTATTTGGTTTCTTTGTAATTTTGGATTTAACTTCGTTTGCTTATCTAATTGTTGGCCTGATTTGTGTTCATGCTTTTGCTTATCTACAGTGTAAATTTATTTTGCCTCCTCTTCTCTTTGTGATGATTCTCAGGAAAATCTCTGTTTTAATATTCTCGTCATAACCAACTTAACGAATTTGATGTAGCTTTGAGAACCTTCCTTGTTATTGGTTCATATATTTCTCTCTCCCTCTCACTTTTATACTTTAAATTAGTTATCCTTGAAAAGCATTGAATCACAAGTTCATGTTTTTTTTGTGTGTGTGGCCAAAGTCGTATCTTTTTGTGGGTGTTTGCTTATGTATGCTTTTTTATAGGTTTGACGATAATCGTTGAAGTTTAAGTCAATGGCAGAATCTACTCAGATGGAAATTCAGTCTGCAACTGAACCTATGCCAATGCCGGCTAAGCCAATCTTTAAGCCATTAAAGGCTCATGAGATGTCTGATGGGAAGGTTCAGTTCAGAAAGGTATCCGTCCCACCAAACCGGTACTCTCCTCTCAAGAAAGCTTGGTTAGATATCTACACACCGGTCTACGACCAGATGAAAGTTGACATACGGATGAATCTCAAATCCCGCAAAGTCGAACTCAAAACACGAGCCGACACACCCGACGTCAGTAATCTTCAGAAGTCTGCGGATTTCGTACATGCTTTCATGCTAGGTTTCGATATCCCTGATGCTATTTCGCTTCTGAGAATGGACGAGTTGTATGTAGAATCTTTTGAGATCAAGGATGTGAAGACCCTTAAAGGAGAGCATCAGTCTCGAGCTATTGGAAGATTGTCAGGGAAAGGAGGAAAGACAAAATTTGCTATTGAGAACTCTACAAAGACTAGGATTGTGATTGCAGACACGAGGATTCATATCTTAGGAGCTTTCTCTAACATTAAGGTCGCAAGGAATTCGTTGTGCAGTCTGATTATGGGATCTCCAGCTGGTAAGGTTTACTCCAAGCTCCGAGCAGTCTCTGCCAGATTAGCAGAATGAATCAATTTTCTCTAAAATGATATGGGTTTGATATGTTTGGAGAATGTTTACAATTTTGTATGAAATTTTGCATAAGAAAACATTAGAAAAGTTTTTATTGTCAATGTATAACAATATTATTGTTGTCTATGTAATTTTTTAATTGATCTTGTAGCACATTACACACCTATCAGTCATTTACCTACTTTACTATTATGTGTACGATATAGTCAAGTTAGACCGAGCTAGATAGAGACATCTCATGAAACGAGCAAATTCAAAAGGAATGATTGTTCTAAAATAAAGACATCTCATGAAACGAGCAAATTCAGTAGTTTCAGAGAATATACATGCACAGTTGTTCTAAAATAAAAGCTATGGTGCTTTCTTTCATTTTTTCGCTCTATTTTTTCTCTTTCGGATTCAAAATTTTCACGCAAAGTTGATTCTTTTTTCAATTCGAAATCGATTTGTCTTTTTTAGTCTGTTTATAAAAAACCTTCTTGTTATTCTTGTTCAGATGTTTTCCCAGTCGAAGTATTTATCTTTGTCAAAATTTATTCACTTTGTATATTTATTAGGAGAGAATCCATGCTACACACCTGTCTTGTTTTATTTTGTTTTTGTAAATGAATCTGTTGTAGATTTTTAGTTAAACTATCAATTTTTTTTTAAAATAATTTTTTTATAACTCTAGTAATATTTTCTATCATTTTTTTTAGTTTATTTGTCCAAATTTTGAATTTTTTATCTAAATTTTGATATAGAGATAATTTTTAACTTTCTTATTATATATATATTTTTATGATTTTTGTAACATATTTCATCTGTTATTTTTTTAGGTTTTTTCATAATCCTGATTAACAATAATTTTAACTTTCTCAATTTATTATTTTCATATTTTTTTATTACATATATTTTATTCAGTCCATCTTTCCAAAAAAATACCTTCAAAAGTTTTACCATGTATATATATTTTTTTTTCATTTTCTCTCAACTTTTTTATATTTTGAAAAGTTTATCAATTCTTTATTGATCTTTTGTATTAAAGTGTTATTGTTCTTATTTGTTATTCTTTACATTTTGTAGTTCATCATCAATTAGTAATCTTTTTCAACCTTTTTTTAATTTTTATTTAAATTCTCACATGACAGTTATTTTGAACTTTCTCAATTTATCATTTTTGTATTTTGTTATTTACAAATATTTCATTGAATTCATCCTTCCATTCAGTACCTGTTATTTGTTGCCATATTTTTTTCTTTCTTTTTTTTTTAATTTTGATATTCTCTTATCTTTTCGATTATTTAATGAAGTTTTTTTGTGTGTTGTAATTTTATAGTTCTCGTTTTTTGTTTTTCAGTTACTTGAAAATATTTTTTTTATTTTTTTTTATTTTTGGTCTCAAAAAAAAATTTCTTCATTTTTTATTAATTGAATTATCTTTGTTAGTTCAAAAATGAGGATTAAATCACACATTACATAAAATAAGAAGACAAACACTATTTTTTAATAAATTTGATTTTCATTTATTCTTAATTTATGATTTACTATTTTTAATTTAACATGATTAAATATAAATTAAATACTTTTTATATATATTTATGTTGTTTAATAGATTTTTTTCAAATTTAAATATTTTGTTTAGTAAATAATGATGTGCAAAAATAAATAAAATTGACCAATATGGAGGGGCTGATGTGTCAACTCTTAGAAAGTCCTTTCCTACTATTATATACTAGATTTATAATCCGCGCGTTGCGCATAATTTTATTTTTAAACAGTTAATTCGTCATATTTATCTTCTTATATTTCTTAATTTTATTAGATTCTTTCACTATTTTCATATTAGTTATTTTTATTTTTGGTCTTCTCTATCATCTTTAACATTTTTGTACTCTTTTCTAAAAATTTTCTTCATCAGCTTTGAGTTCTTCTTCATTTTCTTCTTTAACTTTCCATCTTCTTAAACTTCTATTTCTTCTATTTCTGTTTTTTTTTCCTTTCGGTTTTTTTTAGATTCTTTTTTTTTATTATGTTTCGTGTATGTATTCTTCCTCTTCTATTTTTTCTTCATCTATGTGTTTTTCTTTATATTTGTTTTCTATTGTTTTTCTTATTCTTTTTCATCATTTTTTATTTTTATTTTTCATCATTGTCGTTTACTTCTTCTCATTATTTTTTCCAGCTTTTAATCCTCTTCTTTTTGATAAAAGTAATGATTATAAATAATGTATAAATTAATTAAGTCATTAATTTTAATATTAGTGTTTTTCTTTTATTTTTAAATAAAATTAATTCTATTTTAAAGTGTATGAGTCATTAATTTTAATTTTTTTTATCTATGCTGATGTGGACACCCTATATGGAGAGAAAACCCTCTCACTATATAATAGATTAGATATATTTTATTACATAAAAGAGAATAATTCAAAGTTGCTAATTCACCAGATCGCGACACATGTTAAGTTAATTGATATGATTTCTGTGTGAGTCGAAACTCGCACGATCAAAATTTGTTAAAGAAAAAGAGAGATCTAAAACTTCTAAGTGAAAATCTCAAGAACAAAGATCGAAAAATAGTCTTATTGCTTAGGGTTTCTGTGATTACGTCAAACTTACATAATGGAAGAATTACATCGACTATTTATACTAAGTTTACAAACCGCCTAGCCGAGTGATGTGGGTGTGCTGTGTGAGGGTTGTCAAGTTTTACCCTAATTGAAAAAGTATTTCAAAACGATCCATAAAAGTGGTCAAAATACGGTGTTATCACCGAGATTCTCTTCTGAGATACTTGGAAATTTTCCTTTTCTTTTGTGCGGCTGACGACTCCGATCTCTCTTAGAATAAAATCTCTTGGACTCGTTCATCGGGCCTTTGCGACTATTCGGTTCGGCCCATTAGCACTTTCGACCCTCCGGCTCGGCCCATTCTCTTTCTCCTTCGGCCCAATCCATTTCTCGTTTACGGGTGATTCCTTGGCTCAGGTACGCGAGAAACCTCTCGAACCGAGACCGGCTCGGTTCAGTTCTTCACCCTCCTTGTTTCGGCTCGGTCAAACCGAGCCGTTGATTTGGCTCTGTTTGGCCGAACCAGCAGTTGGTTTGGCTCGGTCCGGAATGGTGTTTGGTTCAACTTGGTTTACTGTGTTGGTTGCGTTCTGGTTTGATCCTTCAGTAAATCGTAGAATTGGGCTTTCCAAACCCCAATTTCGACTCGTGGATGTGAAAACTGACCCCAACAGTTTGCCCCCAACTCATCAGTTTCGTATACGAAGATGCCGAGTTGAAATTAGCAAAACCGAGGTAAACTACCGAATCACGCGTTAAGTCCCCTTTTCGAGGTTTTTGGCTCGGCTTGGTTCTTAGTTTCGTTCGTTCGTTTTTTTTTTTTTTTGCTTTTGCTGAGCCAAAGGAGCACGCTAGGGGGACATTTGACGAGCCGGGACGACATACGACCTCTGCTTTTACCGATCCGAGATTGATCGGCTCGATGCGCTGCCATAGAATTTCGAAGTGAATCACTAAGGTGAATTGCCGAAGTGAATTGTCGAGCCGAAGCAAAAAAGAGCGATGCAACTCAATTTGCTGAGCCGAGGTAGCGAAGAGCGATGCAACTCAAATTGCCGAGCCGAGGTAGCGAAGAGCGATGCCGAGCCGAGGTAGCGAAGGGCGATGCCGCTCGAATTGCTGAGCTGAGGCAAAGTGGAGATTGATGTAGCTAAAGTTGCCGGGGTACTGGTGTTGGCTCGGCGAGCTGTTATCGACGAACAAAGCTGCGATTTAATTTGCCAAAACATTTTTGTACGAATAGACAAACCGTCGAATTTTGTCGAGATATTTTGAATAGGAGGAAGCCGAGATTTTTTTTCCGAGATTTTTTTTTCTTTTTTTTTGATTTTTTTTTAGTCTCTGGCTTGGGCCTTGAAGTTTACTTCTGCTTCTCTGAGCCCGTTGTGGTTCGATGTGAATCTAGGTGGGGTAGACCCCATGCCTAAATCTCTTTATATACTTGAACTTGCCTTTCCCTTCTCATAGCTTTCTCTTCTCCAAATTTTCCAAAGGTAACTCTCTCCTCTTTCTTCTCTCTCTCTCTCGATTTTTTTTAGCTCTTTTTTTTTGGCTGCCGCACCACCTAGGGTTTTACTCAGGGTGTGGTGAGTTTTTGATGTTTCCGATCTGCTCGACGATCCTCTGATCCATCGTCAAACTCCCCGATCCTCCTCTGACAATTTTTAGATCTGTTTCTTTTCTCGACAATCTTCTGTAACCTGAGATGTCGGAACAAAACGAGCCAAGATCCTCTGCCGATTCCATTGATTCTGTGGGTTCTGTTTTGCACCAAGACCCGTCGAGTCTCGTGCCGAGCCCGCTTTTGGGTTCGGCTTCTCGAGATGCCGAATCGATAACCTTGTCTGATGACATAAAACCCGAGCCGGAAGATTTTGACTTTGATCCTGCCGCGGCTAGGCGAGAACTTGAGATCGCGATGGCGAAGTTCGGGGTAGGCCCCTCCGAGCCTCGAAGCTCCCAGAGGAGCAAAAAGAAGAAACCAGATACTCCCGGTTCGTCTCTCTCGACCGAGGAATCGCTACAGAGGCTAAGGCAGCGTTGCAGAATTTCTGAGGCGGTCAAATTTGTTGCGCCCGAGCCCTTCGATCGTGCCGACGAACCCCCGCCGAACCATTTCACAGCCTACAAGTGCTTTTTCGAGTTATGTTATCTGTGGTTTCCTTTGCCTGAGCCAGTTTTGCGATATCTTTGGTTACATATCACTAGGACAGATCATGCCACGGGATCTTCGGCATATAATCAGAATTTTGGTTCAAGGCTACGAGTGCGGCATCAACATCGGAGTTGACCATTTTCGTAATTTTTTGGAGATTCGAAGATCCTCAAAACCAGGAAGATATTATATCTCGAACAAGAGGTCTTAGAGGATAATCGGGGGATTTCCGAGCAAGGATACGTCTTGGCACGATTATTGCTTCTACATTCCCATGGACGAGGCTTCCGTCAGGAACAACTTCCTTAATTTAACCAAGACGGATTGGGGACCACTTGGTAGTTTGCTCGTAGTTCTTGGCTCGCTTGCTTTATATTTTCGATATTGACGTTTGTCTTCCATCTTTTTGTGTTCGCAGTTCGCGATACGCTCCCGCCGG